CAAGCGCCGGATGACCGTCGTCTCCAGCCTGGGCATGTGCGCGTCCATGTCTACAGTGGTCGGATACGTGTACGCGTTCCGCGACTCGGCCAGCCCGCCCGCCGGCGACCTGCTCATCGTGCCGTTCCTGCTCTACGTGTTCTTCGCCATGTTCGCCGTGCTCCCGTTCCCGTGGAGCTTGTGCGGCGAGATGTTTCCCATGGAGGTCAAGGGCACCATGAACGGCGTGCTCTACTCGTGCGGCTACGAGCTCATGTTCGCCGCCATCAAGATGTACCCGACCATGGTGGCCACGTTCGGCATACTGGCCGTGTGGACCGCGTGTGCCTTCAGTTGCTTCGTCACCGCGCTCTTCGGCGCGTTCGTGCTGCCCGAGACCACCGGCAAGTCGCTCAATGAGATCATCGAGGGCTTCAAGTCGTCGTCGTCGTCCCGCAGGTGCCGTAAGCCCCTTAAGCTCCAAATACCCTAGACCGCACAACCCTATGCCATGCACCACCGACAATGTTTCGGGACAAATCAAAAATGTTTTTGACGGTATAATTCACCTGAATCCAATCGCCCACCCACATCACAATAGTACACGTCAAAACTCGCTCGGCATACGGAACACAGGAAGACTTATAAAATACAGTTCGGCAGGTCCACCGGTGACAGAACGGTTACTCCGAAGGTACACGCGTGGAGGAAAGCAGATGCGTTCACGGTCCAATGTTTCCCCTTACCATGACTGATAACAGCCATTCCGTCGCGCGGTAGGTATGCCGCAATAATAATCGCGAACCGAATATTAAATTATTACGTGCCCTAAAAGTTTTTTGAAAAAGAAATAATGAATTTGACTCGAGGGTTCTGGTGGACTTCGAATTAACGGATCCGGACAAATAAAACATTGTACAATTATATTCGTGTAAATATTTTGGCAATAGGTATGAATATCTAAATTTTATATAATCGAATATCAAATAATTACACCTAATATTAACCTGATAAAATTTAATGTAAATATACAAAGGTAAGCTATTTTTTTAAATGTATTATAATGTTATTATATGTGTTTTTTGTATATATAGTGTACTATTTTTACATAATTCTGTATTTTCAAATTTGAACTTTTATACTCAATATTATATTTTTTATACACCACCAATTCATCATGAAAAATACACTTTGGTTTTTATACTTGAATTTTTAATTTTTATTCCACCTAGTTTGTAAATACCTTATTTATGCATTTTATTTAAACTCCTTTTATCAAACGTACAACGGAATAGTAATATCGAATTTCACTATTTATATAATTTATACATAGAAATGTTTGACTTGTGATTTGAGATATAAGAATATTCTTGTATCCTACACAAGAATCCCTTGGTTATACACATTCGATGCATTGCCAACGACTTCTAAATATATTTTTAGATTATTCGATGTAAAATCAGTGGTAAGCGTTCTAAGGCGTGTTCGTCCCCCCCCCCTACCCATATAGCTCATATATTTTTTGAGTATAATACATTGATTTATTTAAAAAATGTAATGTATAAATAATTAAGAATATAAATTATTAATCTATCATTATAATATGTTATCATTATAACAGGAACATGAGCTGTAAATTATTTTTAAATTTGTATGGAAGAAAAATTAGTTTCACCCCTCCCCCCTCATGGCCACAACTCAAATACGCCCTTGTAAACGTTCTTCTAGTTTGTAGAGAAAAAACATTATTTTATATGTTTATAGCTTTTACTATAATCGACCAGATGGCATACTATGTATCATGACGAAGAACTGAAAGAAAGTAATCAGGAACACTGTCATGTTTTTTTTAAAATGTTATTAAAAACATTCATAATGATACAGTACAAATTAAAATGGGAAAAATTCAATTGAGTAAATATAATAAATTGATATGAAAAGGTTTTGAAGTATATCAAATACAAATATTTGCAATGATTAAAATAAAAAAAACCTTTTTCTTTTTAAATCTGAGACATAATCATATCAAGTATTGAGTATTGGAGTATTATAAAATAATCTAGTACAGATAAGGAATACATGTAATTGAAATAATCATTTCAATGCGTGGGTTTTTTAGGATTTATCGACAACATACTTATTCTTAAATAATAATATTCCTTTATATGTAGAATAAAAATCTTGCCTTTAATAGTATACAAAAATCTTGAGGTGTATGTATCCAATACAATATAATGGGTGCATGTAATGCATTGATGGTTTGAATAATTTTATAATTTTGGAATAAATTTCTAAAGCAAATTAAAGCAAATTGTTCTTGGGATTCAGATCAAAATTACATCGAAGTAAAATAGAAATGGCTAATCTGGAACAAATATTTTGTATATACATTTATACTACGTGAACAATCGGATATAGCGGTCTGTCGATGTACATTTCAAATCGATTTTGGATTGTGTAACAGTTGTTATCATTTTAAAACAATATCTGCGTTTTACAACGTGCTCAAAATATGTAATTTGCAACTTTGATTATTTATCGCCGACTAATAAAAAAATAAAATTAAAGTAAAAGTTTATAATTAGCTAAAGCATTAAATTAGATATGTATTACAGCCGAATGATTATTCTTATCAGTAGAACGTGTGTGATAAACAAATGCATGTGGTAAAAAATATAAGTAACATTTATAATAGTTTAATCGATTATTATCCAATCAAACTCTTCTCTCTCTCTCTCTCTCTCACTCTTTCCCTCTTTTCTTGTATTCAACCTATGCTTGGTTTTACAGTTGGACGTGCGTTCTCCACACTTTCTTATTAACGACCATGAGTGTATGTGATGCATACCACCGAGTTCAGGCATGTAATTAATGGGGGAATCATATGAGCAATTTTCCACTTTTCTCCCAAAGATCGTACTGTAGTAACTATTAATTAAGATATAAGGTATTTACCAATTTATTGTATATTATTTAAGCCTCAATCATTTTGAAAAAGATTAATCACCCCCCCCCAATTTTTTTTTTTAAAAATAAGCACCTGTTAACGTATCTATTTACGGGACACGGGTATCAAGGAGTTGCTTCCGGGGACATACGGATGAAACGCATGTGTACTCGATAAGTCTATAAATTATGAATTTTAATATTTTTCACGCACTCGAGACGACACGCGCTCCACGCCGTCGTCTTCTGCGAGTGCGGAGGCGGCGATCATTAAGGAGAAAGAGTGCCGAATTCGGAATACATCAAACGGGTACGCACACGGTGTGCAAATCGCTTACACATCTTTTACATTGCGTACTTATGCATGATATGTATTTATTACAATTGTCAGCGATCTACTTGTATACAAGTAATACGAGGAATTCCTTTTTCACGGTCCGAAAACGGTTCATATACATGCATGTTATGTATATTATATGCTCGAGCGAAGCACCGGTCGACCTCGGATGCGTACACACACACACACTGAAGTGCATTATGTTAGCGTACAAACTGTATATACAGTGTTTGCGTGTAACGTGCAAGAGTGTATGTGTAAACAAATCTTATGTATGCCGAGTACCTATATGTTTTGTTTTCCTCCTCATCCTTTCGACTGTAGCACCGGTTAGCGCACACCTTATCTATCTCTCTCCAATGCGTCGTTTGATTTATCGGCACACGGAAATGCGATCAGGTTTTTTTAACACGTTCATTGCATACGTACGTATCGTAGTGTATGCTCGCGCTGCGTTTCGGTACACCTTTTCCCCGCGTTATTGTTTCAAGTTGGAGTGTACGGATCGAACCTAGATTGACCACGATACAGTTAACGGTAAAGCGCGTGTACACCGGCCGTCCAGACGGACTTGACCCTGTGACCAGAACCTCCACTTCCTTTTACATCCTCTGCCGTACACGTGATAGGACCAACAACAGAACACATTGTATTAGATTATGAAAACTCTAGTTTTTCGCCAAACTTCGTTGTACCGTTTCGACCGTTTGATCACGTTCGTATCGCAGGACGCCCGATTCGATTATTTGATGCGGCGACCCTTTGACGCTAATCATCTGATACTCAATGTCCTGCACGGGAACGCAATCGACCGCGGTCCTACGGTCGTCGCACTTCGGTCCGCTGTCCAACGACGGTTTGCTCTTGAGCTCACGAATGCTCAGCTGCTGATGGTCCCGGACCAGTGAGGTGTTCGCTCCTTCTTTTCCTCCGACGATAATTCTTCGACATCCTGCACAAAAAACACGTGCGCCTAATGAAATATTATTAAACATCATACGAGACGGGAAAACGGAATCAAAAACCGTGTCAACAATTATAGGCTTGTTGCCGTGTCAAGCACGTAGTGGCTCCAGTGGGGTGTCGTGGAAATACATGTACTATTGACCGACAATGAGTCCCTGGAACGGTTTATTATTACGCATGCTGTGAAATTATGGCCACACGCGCTAATTGACGGCCTAACACTCTCATCGTTCTCAATTGTTAATCGGAAAATATCGTTGAATCGTCATACGTGTTCGCATACTACCGTACTCAAGTGTGTACGATTAATTGTGTTGACAAAACCATCCCTTCTGACGCAGATAAGCCGACGTATTCGGAGCACTTGTCAAAAAATAATTGACACATGTAATTTTACCAATACGCATCGATGGCCGCAACACATTATATTATTTATCTGAGTTGTTCGATTGAAATCATTCATTCGTGCACCTCGAGTGGCTTATTTACGACATTGTTTTCCGGATGTTCTTATGTTGCCTGTGATATCATGATTTCATGAACAAATAATACGACCGGTGAAAATATGGCTATTATGTAGTATCATTACGTACACGCAAGCAGAAAAAGTACCGAGAAGGGCACTCGAACAATATGCTTCACATTAGGCTATGGAATTTGAAATCATATTTACAAGATGTATTATAACACCTCGACAATCATTAATGCCATTGATAATAATAACAATAAATAAAATATAATAAATTATGTAACACAAGAGAGAGAACTACTCCAATAAAAATAGTGTGCAGTCGCCTGAACAGCAGGACGTGTTAAAAAAAACCTACGATTGCTTGCCGAAGAAATACGGTTGCCAATGGTAAAACATTGCTGCCAGAAGAATCGCTCCGCTAAAGGGGTCTTAGTGATTCGCAGATCGAATCGATTATTCTTTTATTCGTTTCATGCACGCAAAAACGTATACCGTTCATTTTATCATTATTTATTACTAGGATAGAAAACAGAACAAAAATTAAAAAGTAAAAGAAATATGCAATTATAGTCTTGTACTCGTTAATTTTTCATAATATAACATAGTATTACAGAAATATATTTAAAAATATGTTCGTTTATTTTAATTCAAACTCAGTGTTTAATTTCGATAACACAACAAATTAAGTTAATTAGACATTAACTCAATTCGGAGTACTATTACACAACAGCAACGCATGTATTGTTAGGGAATTTTAAGGGACGAAATGACTGCAAAAAATCGTTCGGTATCAGGCATCGAGAAATCTCAGACGTCAGTTAAATCGATTTTATGCGGTTCACCGAAAAGAAAAATGTAGTACCTATGTACCTTGATATCCAGGCATTTGATAACTGATTGCATGCACCAATATTTTCTTAAAAATCCTGTTTACAAAATGGCTGTTTTGGATTTTCTTTTTAAACTGTAGTATAAAATTAATAATTTTCAAATTTTAGTTTTAAAAATCAAAAAATCTTTTATTATAATTTTATTGTAGTGCAGGACCTAAGTATTGATTTAAAAAAAAAATAAATAATAATTTAATTTAAAAATAATAAACATAAAAATAATTATGGCATTTGTCGAATCATCCTGTACTCGTACATACGAGACTTGCGTGGCGCCAAAAAACGTCAGTCTTGTTTTATCTTGTTAAATTGCGCACAAATTTCATTCCATGATATCGACGTAATTATACGCGTTCTATTATTCTGTTTGGGGATTCAATATTTTATATATTATGATTTATAATAATCTACTCGTCTTCGAAACATAAGTGCCTACATTCACGTAATAGGCGCGTGTAAAACGTCATATGTCGACAAGTACGCGATTATTCGTGAACCCGGACACGCGTAAACACGTGTATGCGTGTGCGAATTTTGTGTCACAAAATAATATAGTATACATCATGTACAGGGTAACCCACGGGTGTTGATAAAAGTATTCCAATGCCGCTTTATTTACACATATTCCTGTGTAGGTCAATTTCTAATTACGAGAGACGTAACATTATTAGTTTCATTTTATGTATTGTCTATACTACAAGTCGCGTTTTAAAGTTTCACCGAATGTAGAAAATCTCTAGAATCACAGTTTTTTTTTTTCGTATTCGACTTTGTAGCATACAAACGTAATAATTGTAAACTGCAGGAATTTGCCATGTACAAGATATCGGAGCACCAAAGCACTAGGAATTTGAGGATGTACTAGCAGCTGTGGCGAAATTGAAATCATCGATCGACGGATTAGCAGGTGCCCATGTGTTGATCTCGTCCGAGGTTTTCGTCATGAGTTTCCGCGGCGTTTCTCCGCGGTACGCTGGCAAGTGCAGCATTCGTGGGTTGGAAAACAAACAGATAAACTAACTCACGTCCGTAATAGCTAACCTCCCGACTTTGATCGACCACTTATCCCAACGATTCTACTTACCATTGCCGTTGTTTCACAACTTTATTCGAAACTCTATTCGCATCGATTTTTTAAGGATTTGCACCTCCACGCTCTGACCGATATCGAATACGCGTGTAATGCATTTATACACGCATGCATTGCAACGTGTGTGAAAATTCTCGCGGGACGACACCCTGTACGAAGGAGAATACAGCGATGTACCTACCACACACACATTGTGTTCGGCGGCGCGGCTCTCGTCGATATAGTACACTGTTTTATTACATAAACGGCGACAGGAGATTATCGCGTTCGGCTCTTATCGCATCGGTTCAATATAAATATAAATTATGAAAAATGGACGAGACGTGTTATTATTTTGCATTGCACCGAAGACCTTGGAGACGCTGCCCGAACATCATCGCCACTGCCGTCGCCGGCCCCAGGAGCCACCGAAGCTTGTATCTGAACCACCCACGCACACAATATTGCACTGTTTTCAAGCCGCGGCTGAGTGTACACGCGCTTCATCATGACGCTCAACGAAAAGATGGCCATGCATTTGAAACTGGTAATACATTTTTCACATATACCGGCTGTAAAAATATATTAAAAATACCAAAAACTTTAAAAACCCTTTAAATATTTGGTATCGATAAGCTGCAGCTTGTGGATGTTATTTTTATATGAAAAAAATAATGTAAAACTAATAGCTTTGTTAATTAATTAGTTTAAACATTATTTCAAATATTACGAGATAAAACCTTTGATTTATATTATAAATGACTCAGCATTGTTACCGTTGATCATCGTTACAAATCGCTTTTCGGTTTTTACGAATGTCGGTTGCAGTTTTGGTCGTTTGTTGTTATAAAAAAAAAAAAAAAAAATCGTTTTCGTAATGATACAGATTTTCACCACCAGCGTCATGGCGTTCCAACAGTTTCTTGCTGGCACAGTATTTGGATATTCTGCCGTCATATTGCCGCAGCTTCAGAAACCGGACTCTCTTATCCACCCCGATGCCGAACAAGCTTCATGGATAGGTAATGTACACGTCACGATGAAATATTATATACTCAAATAATATACGAGGATGATTTTCGATTTTTTGCAGCCAGTATCCCGTTACTGGTCTGTCCCATTGGCTCCTTGGTGTTAGGCTACTTTTCCGACCGAATCGGTCGGAAGAATTCGTTGCAGTTAACGTATATCCCAATGATAGCTAGTTGGACGCTTCTCAGCAACGCGAAGTGCTTGGAACACATTTACATCGGAAGACTTCTGGGCGGACTAGCAACTGGTAAGTAATTTAAATGGTTCACGAACCGTTTTGATAATCGGTCGAGACGATCCCGCACGATTACAAATATTTTTACTCGATACCGCGGGCCTGAATTCTTTTATAAATAATTCAATTGCCAATCCATTAGTGTACTACAATTATATACGCCCATGTAACGTGCAAAGACGGAAATCGAACATACGATTGATATAGGATGTATTACACTAGTTATAACAGAATAGCTACTATATTATGGTATACGATTATGAGTACCGCAAACCGTTTTTTAAATATTATTTGTATATTTCTTAACGTTTTGAATCCAACAATTGTATTACCAATAAGATGTTTAATTGTTCATTACTTCGAGTCGAAACCTGTGCGATATACAATCGTAAGCCATAAAACATAAACGAGTCTTCGTAAGTCTGTAGCTATTTTCTACCGTGCCCCGGTGCAAAGCTGTAATGAAAACGGTGTGTCCAAAAACATTATTGGTGTAAATTAGTAAACCAGCGTAAAATAGAGTGTAAAAACTGTTAGTGTGAAGTCGATTAGCGATCAGCACTGCTGCTGTTGTAGCATGCGTTGAGAGGTAGTCGATTTTATGGAACACCACGCGAATGTAAATGTATTTTACGAGCGATAAATCACCTCGTATTGAACGAATGCCAAATAAATGTTCGTTTCTCGTTTTCATCGAATATTAAAATTTCGTCCGAAACGAACGGGTTGAGCAGTAGATAGCCGATATACATGATAAACGATATGCCTATGTATCATGTACCTAGTCGCGCGTATACAAGTATCCGAAATAAGTCGTTTTTACGATCGAGATGCGTTTTAAAACAAAACCGATACGACGAAGATTATGCGGTACTTCGGTGGATTTCGTGTGACAACGAAATGCGCGGCTCCTATAGACGCACGAGTTCGTTAGTTCGTACGACGGTGACACGTCGTAAACGTTTTGGAAGCACGGCAAAGAATTTTTTTTTCTCTTTCATTACGGTATCTTTTATAGAAAACCGTTTATCGCTACCGTTGTTGTACGAACACGTACACGCGATGCTTTCTATGAAGTTCTGTTTATTCGGATACACCGACCGTAACCCACCGACCCCAATACTTATTCAACACGGGTATTACTGCGAAATCATAGTATTTTTACCTGAACACCGAGTATTAGAAAATAATGCACGGTAGCGCGGATAGGTTACCCCGGATGTTCGGGATAAAATATAAAACGTGTAGGTACCGACAATATGCTGTTTACATCCAAAGAGCACGTTTCCTATTCACGAACATAAAAACACCGGTGTAGTATATTATTTAGTATAATGGTATTTATAATAATCCGTGTATACACAGTTCGCCGATGCAGCTATTGTTCCGCGCGCGCCGAAAACGCGATGGTCTCGGAAAAAACACGATTTCGAAGGAAAAGAATATAACAAAACGATAAAAAAAAAAGAATTATATGTATACGAACGTTTGGTATATAGGCGCGCGCGTATTATATGTACGTGAAACCCGAATAGCGGTTCACGCCTGAACAAAAATTATGTTTCATTCAATGTTTCATTTATCAAAATATTATATGATGTACTGTGCGTGAGCAGCGGTCGAATAGCGAATGCGCGATATCTCGAATGCGGACGACCAAACGAAATCTGCTATATGTACAAAGGGACAGTGCAACAATGAGATTTAAACGTTTTCAAAAAAATATAAATATCGAGGTGAAAACGAATCCGTAAACTTGCACGGTGTTCTTACGAACGTTGTTCCCCACGGTTTCGGAACTTTCAAAACGGGAGTTTATTTGATCGTTGTAGTTTTCGTTAAAATTGTGTTCGTCAGTCGCGAATTGTTAAATGTGTACAACTTAAGTTTGTACCGGTATAATATGGAACCATAAAAACACCATTAAAATTCAGTTAAGTTATAATGAAAACGGTTTTTTCGATGCGTTTACCGTGGGACTTGCAATTGATGATTATGTGTAATATACTGCGCGGCCGATTTACCGAGGAAAGATCTTTTGGGGTCCAATTCACCATTAACGCACATCTCCGCTATGCGCACGCAGGTACCGGTGGCGTGATCTTCGTGTACATCGCGGAGACGAGTCCGACGGGCAGCCGGCCGTTCTACCTGATGATAATCACGCTGTTCGTGAGCCTGGGCCAGCTGACCACCGCGGCGCTAGGCGTGGTGCTGCACTGGCGCGGTGTGGCCGCGGTGTTCGGCGTGCTGTCGGCCGCGGGCGTGTGCGCGCCGTTCCTGGTGCCCGCGCCGCCGATGTGGTTGCGGTCGCGCGGCCGCCACGAGGAGGCGCGCAAGGCGGAACGGTGGTTCGGGTTCGAGCTGCCGCGCGACGAGAACGTGCCGCCGCTGCCGCCGCCGCCGCCGCCGCCCGAGTCCGCGGCCGTCGCGACGCTGGCCCGCGGCGAAACGACGGTGGACGAAGCGCCGGGCCGCCGCCCGAACGTGGGCTGCTGGGCCGCGTACACGTCGCCGACCGTGTGGAAGCCCGCGGCCGCCGCGTTCGCGTTCTTCGTCTGCCAGGAGTGCACCGGGTTCTACATGCTGCTGTTCTACTCGGTGGACGTGATCCGCGACTGCCGCGTGTCCATCGACGGCATGACCGCGGCCGTGTACCTGGGCATGGCCCGGCTCACCGGCACCGTGGCCAGCATGGTGTTCCAGGGCGTGCCTAAGCGCCGGCTGACCGTCGTCTCCAGCCTGGGCATGTGCGCGTCCATGGCGACCGTGGTCGGCTACCTTTACGCGTTCCGCGGCTCGGCCAGCCCGCCCGCCGGCGACCTGCTCATCGTGCCGTTCCTGCTCTACGTGTTCTTCGCCATGTTCGCCGTGCTTCCGTTGCCGTGGAGCGTGTGCGGCGAGATGTTCCCCATGGAGGTCAAGGGCACCATGAACGGCGTGCTCTACTCGTGCGGCTACGAGCTCATGTTCGCCGCCATCAAGATATACCCGTGGCTGGTTGCCACGTTCGGCATACTGACCGTGTGGACCGCGTGCGCGGTCAGTTGCTTCGTCACCGCGCTGTTCGGCGCGTTCGTGCTACCTGAGACCACCGGCAAGTCGCTCAACGAGATCGTCGACGGATTCAAGTCGTCCGGCAAATGCCGCAAGCCCCTCAAGATCCAGTTACCCTAGGCCAATCACTCCCCCCCCACAAAGTTTTCGTGACTCATCAACGTTTTTTCGATTGTACAGTTCGCCCAAATTCAATCCTTCGTCCTCATCACAAGAATACAAGTCAGGGTACACGAAACATGGGGAGTCGTATGGTGCAGACCAGTAGCGGCCCACCGGTGGCAGAACGGTTGCTCTGATCCGCGAAGATGTCCTTACGATAACCGACAGCAGCCGATTCCATCGCGATTAATCGCAATCCGAATATTAAATTATTACCCGCCCCATAAGTACTTCGAACAAATAGATCCGGTTACATGAAAACACTGTACTGTAATTATATTCCTGTAAATATTTCAGCATTAACTATGAAAGTTTAAATTTTATATAATCGTGTTACACCTGATATAAAATGTAATGTAAATATACAAATTTAGACGAGTCTTCCGAATGTATTATAATATTATCATAGGTATTTTAGTGTATATAGTGTACTATTTTACATAATTTTGTAATATAATTCTATTGAAACTGTCATTTTTATACTGAATATTTGGTTGTTCATACACCATGAACGCATCATGGATCATACACATTGGTTTTTATACTTTAATCTTAAATCTTAATTCCACCCAGTTTGTAAATACCTTATTTATGCGTTTTATTAGGCTCCGTCAAACGTACAACGGAATAGTAATACTTCACCATATATATAATTTATACATGAAGATGTTTGGACTCGTGATTTAAGACATGTAAAATATTCTCGTATCCTACACAAGAGTCCCTTTTGATCATACATTCAATACATCTTCAACGTCTACTAAATATCTTTTTAGATTATTCGATATAAGATCAATGATAAATGTTCTTGTAGTTAGTAGAAAAAACCATATTATTTTATATGTTTATAGGTTTTTTACAATAATTGACCAGTTGGTATGCTATGATGTCATACACTCTGACAAAGAACCGAAATAGAGTAATAAGGAACACTGTCATGATTGTTTTAAAATGTGATTAAAATAATATTTATAATGATACTGTAAACATTGAAATGGGAAAAATTCAATTGAGTAAATATAATTAAATGATATGAAAAGGTTTTGAAGTATTTTAAATACAAATATTTGCAATGATTAAAACAAAACACCGATTTCGTTTTTAAATCTGAGACATAATATAATAATATCATGTTTTGAGTATTACAGTATTATAAAATAATCTGGTACCGATAAGGAATAAAAGTATTTGAAACCATAATTTCAGCACTTACATATTTTAGGATTTAACCACAAGTTAATTATACAAGTTTTTAATTAACATTAACACAAGTTATTCGTATTAAATAATAATATATAAAAAATATAATAATAATAATAATATATATATATATCCATAAATATATTATTATTCAATACGATATATTGGATGCACGGAATGCATTGCTGGTTTGAATAATTTTGTAATCACGGAAAAAATGTCTATAGCAAATTGCTTTTGGTATTCGGATCAAACTACAATGAAGTATAAATAGAAATCTATTTGGCTTATTTGGAATAAATATTTTTTACGAACATTTATATTAAGTGAACAATCGGATATAGCGGACTGTCGATGTACATTATAAACCGATTTTGGAATGTGTAACAGTTGTTGTTGTTTTAAAACATATCAGCGTTTTACAACGTGGGAAAATATGATATGTAATTTAACTTTGATTATTTATCTTCGACTTATAAAAAAAATAAAATAAAAATTAAAGTTTATAATTAGTTAAAGCAATAAACTAGTAGCCGTATAATTACAACCGAATAATTATTCTTATCGATAGAACGTGTGTGAAAAACAAATGCACGTGGTAAAAAAAAATATTTAAGATAATATACATCTAAGACTAATAATAATGGTTTATTCGATTATTATCAGAACAAACTATATTGCGTTTATAACAATTTGTAATGCCCGCGGGCAAAGCAAATAGTATTTAGTAACTCGTATTGGACTCGGTTCGATTCAATTTTTGAAACGTGACAAGATTTGTGTTATGTATTAATAATGTATATCATCACATCAATGACTGGAATGACTTCGATTTTTTTGGAGCAGTTACGGTTTTTTCTGTTCCTATTGTTTTATTCTGTATGACGTTATAACCGTCAGCACATTACAATAATAAAAAAAAAAAGAAATGCATTTTATACTTTTATCTACATTTATTTTTATATTTATTGTTTAATAAAAGCTTATTTTACTTAATTTGTATTCACCAATATTATGCTGTCTATAAAGTACACTTTATTATTCACACTCAAATATTAATACTAATATTATTAATCATGTGCATTTTATATTTTAGAGTTCAGATTAGCTTATTCTGCATCATCATTAAGAAGTTTCATCAGCGGGAAACAAGGCCTAAATTATTATAAAAAAATGAAAAAAAATTATAATAGCTATAACTTGGCCGAAAAAAAAATGTATTATTATTATTATTATTATTATTATTATTACCTCTAAACAACAATTTTCCGGGACAAACTGATGATTGCTCTCTATTTTGGCGAATACATTTGTCGGAATTACAGTAATGACTCACATTGTTGCACTTCTCCATTCGTTTTTGCATTCTAATTATGAAAAACATACAATGATACGGAATTACGAACATTTTTATTTGGTACAGTGTCTTGATAATTCCAAAACGCAAACCACATATCCCCAAAGATAAACATTAATTATTAGAATTCATTTTCTCTATAGTAGTAGGTACACACATTAATCAGCGAAAATGTCAAGTCTTTGTAGTTATATATACAATTTTTGCTTAGCAATAAGCAATCTTAATTATTAAGATCAACAATGAATCTAAATAGTTCATTTTATTTTTCAATGTAATGTCTTTCAAGGGGAATGAAACTTATCGGAATCTTATCGGGGCATCCGAGCTGAGTCCCGAGTACTAGGGGTTAATCGCAGGTAGTGTACTAGTTGAGTCCCGGATTTTTTATAGGCATTACACTAGTTAAGTCCCAAATTATTTTAGGTATTACACTGGTTTCTGAATAGTTTTTGGTAAGTACCTACTACATTATACTAACATTTTCCTTTCCATTTTAACAGACTTAGGACAGGTCTAAGATCTATTTAGACCACAGATATGGTTAAAAAAAAAATTTTATAGTTTTTTTTTTGTTTTTTTAGTTTTTTTTCCATTAAAATATAAATTATGAGAATTATGTTGGTAAAAATATTAAGAATCATGTATAAAAACACATATTATATAATATAATTATAGCCATATAGGCAAATGAAAAAATATCAAAAATGTTAAAATCGTTATATAATATAAATAAAAATTAATGGAAAAGAAATTAAAAAACAAAAAGAAAACTATAAAAACATTTTTAACCATACCTATGGTCTAAATAGATTATAGACAGCCCTAAGTCTGTTAAAATGAGAAGGAAAATATTAATATAATATAGTACTTCCAACAAATATTCAGAAACTAGTGTAAAGCTAAAATAATTCAGGACCCAACTAGTATAGTACCAAAAATAATTCGGGACCCAACTAGTGTAGTGATTTTAAATTTGGGACCCAATTAGAATGCAGTCAATTTTATTCATCACTACGGTTCTTGACGCCGGATGGGCTTAAATCGGATGACTGGTGTCTGAAACTCGATTTATATAAATAAAAACGAAAACCTAGTCATAAAAGTGTAGTATGAGTCGTATACCTTCATGCATAAAACATAAATACGTGTACCATAATGTATCCAAAGACTATTCAATTCAAAATGATAAGTTGTTTGTTTGTAATATTGCTATGATTAATTTATTTAGTTTTTACGAAAAAACTTCTGTATTATCAATACTTATATGTTTATTTACACACTTGTTTATATGCTTATTTCTGCATGTTTACTTAGATGCTTATTAAAATTTTCATTATACAGGATACTTGTAAATGCAAATATGATTGCCGAGGATTTAATGTAGAAGTACGAACACTTCACACTGAATTTTGGAAGGAAAAACCTGATAATCAAGGTAATTTTCTATATGCACTGATAAACACTACAGTCGTCAAACAAAGGAGATCACATAAAGAAGACGATGTTCTTTCAAGAAAAATACAGTTATCCGACGCATATTATTTACCATAATCCGTCGAATGTCATGTTCAGGTATAGGACAAATCTTTCACGGACGTTATGGGTTTATCAATTAGGCGAGTAAAAACTTTATGATAATAGACATAAAAACATTGTGTACAAAAGTGTAAGGAGAAATAACCAAAATCACATGTTAACAAAACGAAATACACGCTTTAGGATGTAGAGCAAAGCTTACGTCAGTCCATTTCCAACCGAAAAGAGTCACTAGCTCGTCGCAAATCAAGCAAGTTATTCTCGAGTGCAGATCTAAATGTTCAAAAAGGGAAAATAGCACATCCTGATACTAATATTGACAAGCGTTTATTATATAGAGTATTTTAAACATCATTTCCAAACCTTTGGTTCCATCGCTCTCGAGCTGACACTTCCACTAATAATTACTGTGATCGTTGTAAAAATGAAATACATTTTGTGGACTATATCGAAGTATATAAGCAGTGGCGTATTTATACGCAGGCATTATAGGCATGTGCCTACAGCGGCTGCAAATTTTTGAAGATTATACGTTTTATGGTGTTACATACTATTATATTTATATTCGTTTTTAGGTTTTATGATATTGTAAAATATGTTGTATGTACTTATTTATGAAAAAATACTAGATAGCCAGTGCCGGATCTAGGAAATTTGACGCCCGGGATTAATAAAAATGCAACGCCCTTAGATAGGCGAAAGTACGAATATATCATGACTTTTTTTATTTTTCAGAGAGCGTGTCCATTTGCTCCCCTAGATCCGGTATTGACAAAAACTTATCCCATCAACAGCTAACAAGGTATCTATTTTTATAATTTCTTATCGCCGTTTGTATATATATATATATACACATATATAGTTCTATATATAATATAAATATATACATATAATTATGTATATAAGATTCAGAAATATTTATGAAAAAAATCGTTGTGGATGATTTTAATAAATAAAATACCTAGCAATAAACAATTATTCTGAATTCAGTTTCTGTTCACATTGCCGTGTATGTAAATTGTTTTCCTTTTATTATATTTACTAACTTGTTGTTATTTTTACTATTTCTTATTATTATTATTATTTTTTTTTTTTGTGAAGATGAGTAGAAAACTATTGTTAATCGGTGACCAATATAAAAAAAATTGCCAAAATATAAGTTGATAATTTGCAAAATGTTTTAAATCAAATTGACTGATTTTTTTTTTTTTGAAAATAAAGCTTTTTTTACTTCTTGTAGTTGTAATAGTACGGTAGTGACTACTAGTAATGGGCAGAAGTGACTAATTCCTACCGACTTAGTCAGTAGTACTGTGTGATTAATTTAGTTACTCTACGTAGTACATTAGTCATTTAACTAAAATTTTAATCGATTATTTATGATCAACTCAAACTGATGAAAAATTAAACAATTTGGCATTATTATCAATAGAGAATGACATGTTAAAAGAATTGAATTCTTAAGAAATTATGTTTTATTATTCAACTAAATATATTACTTAATCAATGTATATGTTAAAGTATTTAAATAAGAAAATCGTGTTAAAAAGTTTTTTATCCGAATAAAAGGTGTTTCATAATATGCTCAAAACGGTTTTTTCCTTTTCCTGTAAAATTTGCTTTTTATGACTTGGTATCTTTTCCATGTCAGCGCTTTATTTATTTTTCCTTCTAAATTATAAACTATTTTTAATTTTTATTAAATGTAGTCAAATTAATTTTAAACTTTAAATTATTACATAACAATGGAAGCTCCATTATTGAGCATAAAAATAACATTGCTGTGTTGTCATATTAAATACTCTTAGGTATACTATCAGATGACGGATAGACAAACAATAAATGCAAATGATTTTCATTCATAACATTTAATGTAACATTCTTAAGAATTAATGATCGATTAAAAACTTATATTATGAAAAAAATACAGTACGATAGTATACATATAAATAAAAAAAAAGGAACTTAGGGCTGTTAAACACATTCACAAAATACTTCAGATAATTATATGGCTCAAAGTTTGATTACATATGACGTTACCCGTTCGAGGGAGGGACGTTGCTGTGAGGATTCGGCAGAGAACACAGAAGAATCTTTGTTCACGCGGTATTTTATTTTGAGATGACGATTTCTAATGGAACACGAAATTGGGGCACATTTGATTTGGAGCGTTAAAGACACGCACTACGGGTGGGCGGTGTACACGCATAAATCAAACTTCGTAGACTCATTAAATCCTTTTACAGGGCGCATATTGAACAAATGAGTTTAAAAAAAAAAATAATAATAATAATAATAATTACAAAAATAATTAAAAAGAATAATAATAATAAATTATAGGCAGCGTTGCGCCGATAACAGGTGCAATCGAAAACAATTTTTTTTCGTCCATATATTTTCAACGCACAATATAGTTTTACTTGAAATTCAAGAAATCGGAACGAGGGATCCCGGGACATAACATTAAGTAAGTGCAAGTTACACTCTTTGTTGGACAACGTATATCGTTTTCGATTTCACTGAACCAGTCGGTACCATGCATGGGGTGAGAGGAGGGAGGGAGAGTTGAACATGTTTGTAAAATACACAAACTGCTTTGTACAGAACGTATTGTTACAATATTAGAAGGAGAAAAAAATTAACGATTTTTTCCTCTCCTACATGCTGCAGTATGTCGTAAAGACTTCAGACGATGTAATAGTCATAATGATGATAATGATGGTGTTCGTGGATATGATGATGAATCTTCTTGGACGCCAGTTTGGCGCGTTTGTAGCGCTGGTGATCAATATTTTTGGTTTGTTCTTGGGTCACCGAATCTTTCGGTTGATGCTGCTGCTGCTGCTGCTGTTGGTGCTGCTGGTTGCTGCTGACCACAGCGGCAGTAGCTACTCGGTTTTGATGCCGGGAGACACCGACCCCGGACAACTTGACCTGCACGTGGTGTTTTTCGGCCGACGACAGCTGCGGATGGACCCTTTCCCCGTATAACGGCTGCCCTCTGTATATAACGTTCTTGAGATACTCGTGTTTCTGCTGATGCTGCTGGTGGTAGTGCTGCCGGTGGTGATGCGGTGACGGAATGTGCGCGACCGTTTCGAAGTCGTACGGGCTCCACGCCACCTCCTTGACTGGCGTTTTCGGCTTGACGGCTGAAGATTGTAGCTGCTCTCCTACGTTGTAGTTGCTGGACTGACGGCGCTTCGTCCGCGGCCTGTGATAGCCTTCCGGCTTTGTTGATTTCCTAAGCGAGAGAAAAAGAATAGTAAATACATATCAATAAGTACGTCGAAGCATGTATTATTGGAACTATAACTACGTATATTATACATTTATGCACGTGAATACGAAAAGAGAGGTTCAGAAATCCTTAGCCATCTCGTACCATCTCTCGAGCCCTACTATTTTAGTTCTTGAACCCCTTCGGGCTCAATGTATTCGTAGATGACCCAACTAGTTCAGGGGGTCCATACGAGAAATCGTCTCTTCACCCAAAGACCATATTGTAGTAATCACGAATTAAGATATACGGTATTCATCACTTAACTGTACATTATTTTAGTCCTAATACATTTGAAGAATGCTAATCGCCCTCCAAATAAGTACCTGTTTACGCGCCTGGTTACGGGACACAAATATCGTAGACTCACTTCCAGGGACGTATGGATGAAATGCTTGTGTATATGCGATGAGTCTATAAATAATAGTTTTAATTCTTTTCACGCCCTCAAAACGCCACGCGCTCCGTCACCGTCTCTTCGCGCCGCACGTGCAGGAGAAGACGGCGACGATCCTTCAGGAGAAAGAGAGCACCGGATTTGGAAGGCATCCAACGAGCACGGAAATCATTTACACGTTATATACATCGCGTACTTAAGCATAATACGTGTAAACTACACGGATTTATTACAATCGCCGGCGATCTACTTGTACGCAAGCAACACGCGGAATTTTTTTTTCACGGTCCGAAGAACGGTTATTAAACACGTTTATTATGCATATTAAGTGCACGAGCAACGCACCGATCGACCTCGCTTGCGCCTACACGCACTCACGTGTAGTATGTGAACGTACTAACTGTATACACAGTGTTCGCGTGTACCGTATACGCGAGTGGTACGTAAACGAATGTTATGTTTTGTTTTCCCCCTCATCGTATTGACTGCAGCACCGGGCTTAAGCCGTTTTCACGTGCTTCTTATCATCTCTCCGGCGCGTAGTTTGATTTATCGGCAAACGGAAATGCGATCAGGTTTCTTAAACGTTCCTTGTATACCCGTAAGTATCGTCGCGGTACGTACGCGCTCTGTGCTTTGGTATACTTGTTGTGGCGTAAGGATCGAATCTAAATTGACCACCGCAGTGTAATCAACGGAAGCGGCGTGTGCACACCAGCGTCCACATGCACTTAACCCTGCGACCGGACCTCTCCCCTCCCATTCCGCACACATGAAAGGATTAACGACATAATGCGTTACCTTAGATTTTGGAAACTCAAGTTTTCCGCCAGACTCCTCTGCACCATTTCGACCAGTTGATCGCGCCTGTATCGCTGCGCGCCTGATTTGATCCTTTGGTGCGGCGATCCCTTAGCGCCGTACTCCTGGTACTCGGGGTCCTGCACGGGATCGTAATCGTCCGCGGTCCTGCGGTCATCACGCCGCGATCTGCTCTCCGTTTTGCTCTTTCGCTCTCGGACGGTCGGCTGCAGATGATGGCCCCGGATCGGTGACGCGTTGGCCGCCGCGGCCGCGTTGTACTCCGCCAACGACTGCCTGACGTTAAGCGTCACTTTGACAGTTCGCTGACCTCGGGACGAGAACTTCAACGTCGTCCCGTACATGGACTCGAGTATTTTCAAAGCCAGTCCTTCGACATCCTGTACACAAAACGCGCGCGCTATATTACTAAGCATCATCGTATCATACACGAGACGGAAAAACGGAATCATCAAACGCCATGTCAAAAATAATTGACTTGACGCCGTGCCAAGTGCGTAGCGGCAGTCGCCCCGGTGGGATTTCGTAGAAGTACGTGTACTATTAAGTGACAATGTGTCCGTGAAACAGCGAAACGCGTCTTAATTGGAACATCAAAGGCGACGGACGAGTGGGTTGGGAAGAGAGAGAGAGGAAGAGAAGGAAAAAACAAAGAGACGTCGTTGTTGTTGCGCCTAAAAGAAGTTTCACAGACGGTTTGAGAGGACCGCTTTGATTGCGTTGCCAAACATCAGAGGGAACAATTTGTTATTTTTAAATGCGTTCCGTTTAGATGTTTAAAACTCGGAGCGGACTGTACGTACGTCAATTGTTGTACGATGGCTGTATCATACATTTATCCTACGCGGGACGAACGCTTATTGTCGTAGAACAGTGGTTTTCATCCTGGAGGTCGCCAAAAATAATGGATTAGATGATTTTTCCATGTTATTTAAAAAAAAACGAAATAAATTATTTAATTTGTGAAATTTTTAAGTGTAAATTAATCAAAATTGTTTATCATGTAAATATTTTTTCGGTAAATAAATAAAACATCATTTTTTTTCTGAAAGGATCGCATTACAAAAAAATAAAAAATGGGGGCTCGCGATTCGAAAAAGGTTGAAATCCAGTGTCGTAGAGAATATGCTTACGTCGAGTGATATGATTATGTATTTAATTTATTGCGGGGCCGCTACGCGTCGGTACGATGACAATAATAATATCCGCAGCGTTCAGACTTACGTGTTGGGTAATTTTCCCGTATCCGTCCGTGTCGGACAGGGTGTACTGAAACTCGTGTTTGATGGGTATTCCGTCGAGCGACACGCAGCAGTCGTACACCTGAGGGACACACGAAAAGAAATAAAGATTTGATTATCATTACGAAGTCTGAGGGAAAAAAGCGATATCGTTCGACATCGTTTTCGCGCGCGCGTATACGTGTCGTGGGACGGAGGAACTCACGTCGTTGGGAAGCTGCGGCGGCGACGGCGAATCTTGTGAAGTAGTCGGTGGAGGCAACATCGGCCGCTGTTGGTGCGGGGGTGAGGCGGCGTTAATGAATTCATCGTCAGCAATTACCGACGAAGCATAAGCGTAATTGATGGTTTTCGAACTGGCCGAATCAATTAACGTTTCCATGCTACCAGTTTTCGTGTCTAGAATGCCTGCAAAAGTGGTAACGGGGAAAAATGTCAATTAAAATCCACTTAAAGATATTAACATAATTTACAAATTTACACGCGCGCGTGCGTTTAAAGTTTTTTAATTAAAAATAATAATAATAACTGGAATCCGGTATTACATGTACGTCGCTGTCGTTGCCGCCGCACCAGCAGGATGTGGTAAACACATCATCAGGTACACGGCAGCGGCGCGTAACGCTTTTGTTTTTCGTTTTTTTTTTTTTTCCTCTCGTTTCTTTTCTTTTCATCGTTTCCCTTCTCTCCTAGAGGGGGGGGGACTAATAGGGTAAGAACCAGTTTCGGTCTATTCGACGACCTATGCGCGTGTAATAAAATATTATAAACACTCGGGCAACGGGAGCGGGGGAGGTGAACGCAGGACGTCGTGCACGAACAATACGACTTTAACGAGCATGTACCACCGATATACCGAACGTGTACGCGCGTGGTAGGGGAAACAGGAGAACATCTCGGGGTACACGACGACAGACCCAAAGCGACGATACCGTTTTTTCTCCTCCATATCCTCTCTTATCCGCGGTGGTTGGCTCGCGGGGCCTAAACGGTCGTTGTTCACCACGGTGCGTTACACGAGAGATATTCGTTTCGAAAATCTTCCGAGAGCTCGTCGGTGCCGAGTCGTGCATACGGTGCGTGCGCGCGGTCAAAACACGATGAGCGGTGCGTGGCCGGGGTTAGGAAGAGAGTGAAAGAGTGCGAGAGAGTTGTCGGATAGAGCGAGTGGAGGTGCGGGGCTGTATTCTCGAGAGGTGCACGCACGCACGAAATAACAACCGCTGCACAACGGGCACGGTCGAGGAAACGAAACCGGTTTGGTTGTCGGCGACGTAGACCGGAGGAGGCGAGAGCGGCGAACGTTTGATACGTACCGCCGAGCACATCCATCCATCTTCTCTCCCACAGCCGCCGCCGCCGCCGCCGATTCAACTCGCATCTCACACACACACACACACACACACACACGCACGCACGCACATACACACACATACACGCACACACACGCGCACGTACACACACCAACAAATACGTTTCTACCGAATAAAAACGTAACAGAACAATAGACGCACAAACTAGAATATTATTACTATTATTATTGTACGTCCGTGTTTGTGTAATGTTTTTTTATTATTATTATTTTTCCTTTTCAACTCTCTGCTGGATCACGACCACGGTTGGCGCGGTGTAAAACGACTACCGCTGTACCACACACACGAACGGCATACGAGACACTTACTCGTCAAACGCGCATTTGCAATGAAACGAGCGGTGTACGTTTCGAACGCACGACGAGTCTTCCGGACTGTGTTCCAGGAGAACGGCGACCAACACCGATTCGATACCGATTACGATTTTTCGTAACCGGATTTCTATGTTAATAACACGTTTCCGTGGTATTGTTACAGTGTACCGCCGCTCGAACGACACGTTACAATCATCTCGGGCAACGGACCGAACGCAAGTGTAGTTTTATATGAACACGTACGCGTGTATGTGTGAGTTCAATGTATATATATATATATATGTATGTGTACAAGAATAAGCGAGCGTGCGTGTGCGTGTGCGTGTGAAAGAGAGAGGGTGGGTCGAGAGAGAGATGAAACAACATGCGGCAACAACGTTTCAGAAGAGATCCTTGGTTGAGATATATAATCTTGGCCTTGACTCTTGGCTACAAAGAGTACCGACAAGGCGGAGCCGCCGACATAACATTAGTCGCCGGCCGGCTGGTCGGTAATATTCCTTTTTTTCATTTTTATTTTTATTTTTATTTTTTTTTATTTTCCTTATATATATTTTTTCCCTCCTCGTACATCTGAGCGCACGCATAACACATGACACGTCATTATTTTATATTATATACATTTCTTCTAGATAAAAACCGCTCGGAATTATCGTCGTCGTCGTCGTCGTCGTCTGGTCGTCAATCCCCCGTGATTGTTCAACGCGACCGCCGCGCGTGCACGTGCATTTATCCGTTGCCGACCGATTACGAATGGAAAAAAAACACAAAAAAAAAAAACAAAAGAATCGTGTCGGCGCGACACACGGCCGCGTCACATACATCACTTTGACGCCTCTAACCACGACGGCACCGCTGGCTGGGGACGATGCTCGGGAAAATCGGTTCCGACCCGTGCGTACCGGTCAGCACACGGTAGCGATTAATTTTAGCGTCGTCGAGTAGAGTGCAAACACGTGTTCGCTCGCGGTCGCCGGAACGCACGGCGCACGGGAATTGGCAGCGAAACACTTAGACGCGACGGCGGTGGACCACTTGCGACGTCCTTGAACTCGTAACAAAATAAATAACAATCGTCGATCACCAAACACGTACTTTAGGCCGTAACATTAAATGCAATATAGTTTATACGTAGATGTGGTGCACACGCCGCAGCGTAATATACCCGCGTAACGGAACGAGGGTGCGAGCGATGATGCGAGGGACCGGTGAGAAGGACGACGCGTACTGCGGAGGAACACGTACGCGCGCAGGAATGTGCGGACAACGAAAAGGGTCCAAAACGATTTCGGGAACTCGAACCCCGCGCCGCGCGCTCCGAGTGGGTGCTCTACACGTCGCCGCCGCCGTATCGGTTACACACCCACACGCGCGCACGGAATGACTGTAACGCGGCGGCGAGATGATGACCGTTGTAATGTTGTTTATTGGGGCCGGTTCTCGGAATGTCGGCAGATAAAAACCGAATGACGACCGGCCGGTGCGAGGAGCCCGTCCGCCGAGAGTTCCACGAAGTTTGACCGGCAGTTCATGTTTTATTATTATTATCATCATCATCATCATCATCGTGGAACGCGTGCGTTACGATTATCCTTAATAAGGATACGTAACGCGACGCTTGTTCCGCGCGGTGTTAACCTCGCGGAACTTGAGCTGTCATCGATGTTCTATTCGCGTGGTCTTTTCCGTACCACGACGAACAATACGCGCACGAGCACCGAAAAAATTATACAAACACGACAGCGGCGGGGTGGATCGCCGGGCCGAAGGTAGGGTGACAGAAAAAGAGAGAGTAAGGCGATAGACGAGGAGCGAGAGGACGAGCGAACGAAAAATATGTAGGGAGACGGGCGGAAAAAAAAACACTATATATAATCTAAAACATGTAAACAAAAAGGCGTGGGATCGCCGTCGTAGTCGCACAAGGGGACCCGATATACAGCGCACACGCACACACATGCTCGTACACTAGCTCGAAAACGCAGTGCCCGTGCACCACCCACAAACATTCCGTGTTTTCCTACTCTGAGTATAATATACAATATGTGAACGGCGGGACCCGATTCACGGGAGACCCAGTGCGCGCGGCATCACAATAGTGCGCGCCAGCTGGATACTGCCGGAGCAATGGAAAACATTATATTGTTGTTGTTGTTGTTGTGCGACGGACGGGGGGAGGGGGTGGTTAAGACGGCAGTGTCGGCATCGACGGGAGAACGAGTGTTCGCGCGTGCGCTGGAGTGAGAGAGAAAATCCCATTTCCAAGGAAACACGCGGGACCCTTGGAATTCCTTTGCGAGAGAAAAAAAAACCGCAGCTCCGTGTTGTACTGTTGCTCTGCTCCTATACACACGCCGACCGTTCACGGTCCCTGTCCGCCTCTATCTCTCTTTTTTCATATCATTGAATACAACACAAAAGGACGTGCGCGCGTATACACATCGCGTACAACAGAATCGATAACCGATTTGATTTGTGTACCTATAGGGAAAGGAAAAAAAAAAAAGAGAAAAAAAAACACCTTACCGCAGAGGCCGGCAACGTTAAAGACTCGGACGAGAAGAGTTTTCTCTAAGAATTCGAAAACTGGGCTTTCGTCTCGTCGTCCTGTCGCGCGCACGCATCGAATCTTTCGCCGACACGTTGGTTCATCGACCCGCGGCGATAGTAATTTGCCGCCGATCGTTCCCGACGATTGCGTGTCACAACAATCGTGCGCACCAAACATAATTTGCCGTATACCATGAGCATTACGTGTTATAACATGTACACGAAAGTATCCAATAATAATAATAATACAAGGGAGGAGTATCGTGCAAGCGGTTTTTTTTTATTTCACGGAAAAATTGATGCTGCGAACGATATCCTGTCGAAACAAGATCACGGCAACCCGGCAGGATACCGTGAACGAGTAAAATAAAGTTAGCCGCAGAAGTCGCTATTGGCGAGTTCAATGTAAATAAACGGCGTCCCGTTATAACGCGTTGACGAGATAGTAAACAGAGGAGACTGCCGGGGAAAAAAACCGTTAACAAGAGTCGTAAAACGGTTAAATACTTAAGGCGCGGGGTTCCTAAGTGTAAATAACGCGTGGTGCGCTGCAATATTACAAAGTGACATCGCGGGAAAATACGGAACCGTCGTTCCGTAAAGGGATTTTCGAAAATCGCGAAAAAAATCGCCGGCAACGTGACATCGATAAACAAACAAAACAGTACGGTGAAAATATGATTTTACCTGCAGAATATTTCCGTATCCACTTGAGCCATTCCATTTTTTTGACGAGACCCATAAGACGAACTTGCGCGCGACCGGGTTACGACGGGAAAGAAAGAACAAAAATGAAAAGTACACGACGGAACGTCGTCAAATATCGCACCGCATTGTAGTGGTCGAGTGAAAAAGAAAAAAAAAATTATAACATTAGCACTGTGTCGACGAAAACGCGTGGGTTCGACTGACGGCGAGATGAGATTTAAATAAAAAAAAAAAATGATTGAAACCCCGGCGAAAGGGAACGTAAACGAAACGCGCGAGTGTTGCGGACGACGAGAGGTGTGCGCACGCGGGTGTTGCTCGTTCGAACGTTGACGGGCGACTGCCGGTTGCGACGGGCCACGACGACTACGGCGGCG